TTGAGGCATCTGGGAATTCGGGCTTTTCGCGCCTAGCTCGGGATGCAGAGGATGCGTGAGAAGTCTGGAAGGTGGACTTGCAGACCAGGAAGGTTATCTCCTTCACGTTCTGGCCAAAGATCTTGGGGAGAACTGTAGGCACTCTTAAGCTACGTAAGGCTCAACCACCGTAGGCTACGAACTATGATAACATAGGGGCCTTGCTAACTAGAATAGGGCTTTTTGGGGCCCATTATGCTATAGTTACAATAGGGACACCAATGTTAAACCCGAAATCCTAAACCCTAAAGGCCTCTACATTAGAACCACAGTCTTTTTGATCCACTTCCCATGACTTCCGGGTCCTGTGAAAGAGCCTTAGCCTGAGCCAGGCGACTGGAACTCCTGGCGATTGGCCAGGGGCTTAAGATAGGTAGAATAAGGTTTCGGGCTCCCTTATAGTAGAACTATAAGAATTAGCCCTCAGGATTACTATAAGAAGGAGCTCTCAAGATGATTTAGGCCTCTGTATTAGGATGTGGAGGTTGTTGACGGGGGGAGTTGCAACCGACGGGTGCCGACTTGGAGAAGGTTCGTTAAGACAGTGGCTCCACAAAGAGAGCCCGCAGTTCAAATCGGCCCGGAATGAAGCATGCAGGTCTGGTCTAGGGATTTAAAGCTCCTGCTTTCGCATCGTTAAGGCTTCCAGGTGTGCAGAATTTGAGGTCAAGAACACCTCCTTGCCTGCTGTGAAGTCGCTTCGTAGTGTTGTGGCTCATAGTCCTGCTACAACAGGCAACCCAGGATCCCCGATCCTTTCACTTCGCATGCTGGACTGAACATTATTTAGGGGCCTTATACTACACTTACAATAAGGAACCCCCAAAATAGTATCGGGAATTTTCAAGGCCCCTAGAATACTTACGAAGCATTGGACATGTGTTAGGCTTGAGCCGGAGGCTTGACCGAACAACCTTCCGACGTGCGTTCCAGGCATCACTGGAGCCTTCTCCCGCTACAGGCGCTTGGAAGGTAACGCAGAGGCATCTTCCACTCCAAGCTCAAAACCGCAAAACCCTGAGCCCAAAAGACTAAAAGCCCTTCAACCATAGCCTAAGCCTAAGCCCCATAAGCCCTAAACCCTAAAACCCCAAAACCGAAAGGCCCAAAGACCCCCCAAATCCGAAACTCAGTCCTCCGCCACGCGTAGAGTGCTAGGATCCCTGCTCCTCCGACTCCGCCCGCAAGGTGCCGATAGCCAAAGCGCCGCGTGGCCATGATGCTCAAAACCGGAAGGCTATCAGGCAAATCAAATATTATCTATGTACACTATCATCATAATGGTTACTATTAGTGTTGTTCTGGGAATTAGTATTATGACTTTGCTAGTTTGTATGTAGCATTATTCATAAGGAAGGCTTTGCGGCATGGACTAGACTGCCGGGTGGAGCTCCTCAGTCGGGGATTGGTGCTGGCGATCGTCCTGCAGCAAGACTGCTCCAAGGTAAAATCTGCGTTTAGGGTTTAGGGCTTTAGGGGTTTAGGATTCAGGGGTTCAGGGTTTAGGGGTTTAGGGGTTTAGGGTCTAGGGGTTTAGGGTGCGTTGTTGTGCAGAATTAGGTTTGCCAGGGTGTCGCATAGAATCAGTGCAGCTGACCTTTCCTTGGCTGGCCGGATCGGCTATCAACCCTTCGCATCGCGAGATAGACCATGGCAAGCGATCTAGGGTGAATTTAATTGGAAGGTCGAGTACTATAGGGGGCCCAAATAAATACCTATACTATTTCGGTAGCTCCTTATTTTAGCCATAGTAGGCACCCAAACCCTTTTCTAATTATTGAGGCCCTATAATTAGTACAATAGAGTCAAAAAAGCCACCCAAAGCTCCATTCTGAAATGATGCGGCCTTAATAATTAGAATTTAGAATAGGGTTTTGGGGGACACCATACTATAATCATGATAAGGAACCCTCACAATAGTATGGGTAATTGTTAAGGCTCCCATATTACTGGAGTTTAAAAGTTTACTCTAGGGGTAAACGCTAAACCCTAAAGCCTAAGGTCACGCATCCTACAGTGGGTCCTGGTCTTGATTTAGTACCTCAGGCAAGGCTACACACTGGCGCTTCTGGAGTCCTCGTCCAACTTTGCTCAACTTCTGTAGAAGCCCATTACAGGTGGGTAGTTCCTCTTCCATAGTACTCCCATAAGACCCTTTTACCTTATAGGAGTGGTATGGGAGGCTTATGGGAAACTACCCACCTAATAACTACCCACCTGTAAATGGCTTAGATTCTGACATGCCTTTGATGCTTCCTGAAAAAGTCCTAAGCCCTGACCTCTGACCCCGAAACCGTCAACGTTAACACCGCCAGAGAGGGCTTTTTCTCACAAGATGTCATCCTCATCACGGTGGTAGCCGCCTTGGGCCTCGGATAAGAGCCATGAGCTGTAAGCGCTGAGAGTAAGTAGGGCATGGAGGTTCAGAGCTGCGGGTTGTCATGCTTTTGTGCCCCAAACCGACTGTGTTCGAGCTTACACCCTCCACCCTAACCCGAAACTAGCCCTAACACCCTAGAGCCGTGTTCTTTGCCTCCCCTTCCTCCCAGAAAGACCAGGTTCTTAAACCCCCAAACCCTGAACCCCAAAACCCATATAGTACCCTTAAAGGTACCCTTAAAGGTACCCTTAAAGGAACCCTTAACGGAACACTAAAGGTACCCTTTTAAGAACCCTGAAGGCTTCCCCCAGATCCTAAGACCAAAAGCTGAGCCGCCGAGACGAGAGAGATCTCCTCCTCTGGGACGCCGTGGCGAAAGGCCGGCACCTGGGCTGTGTTAGTCTGAGGGTTTAGGGTTTAGGAGGGTTTAGGGTTTAGGAGGGGTTTGAGGTTTAGAAGGGTTTAGGGTTTAGGAGGGTTTAGGGTTTAGAAGGGTTTAGTTGGGGATTGGGGTTTAGGGTTTTGGGCTGGGCGGGCTGCTGGGCACCGTGGTAAGCCTGGGCCGAGGCTGGGCTGGCGCTAGGCTGGGGCTCGAGTTGGTCCTGGCCCGAAATTGACGGTTAAGGGGGTCCAAAGGTGAAAAAAGATAAGCAACTTCTATTTCTTTCTTTCTTGAGGGTTTAGGCTTTGGGGTTCAGGCTTCAGGGTTTAAGGATGAGGGGTTTAGAGGTGGGGTTTAGGGGTACAAAATTCGGACAAAACCAGGGAATCCGTACAGGGTTCCTTCCTCTGGGGGTGCTCTCAGCCTTTTAGGGTTAGGGCACTGTAAGGATAGTTGTCAGGTTCCTGCCAGGGTACTTTATGTGAGGGCCTAGGGTTGACATTTTCGGGCCAGCTTACCCTAGAGCTCAGGTGATTATTCCACTCTGCAAGCCCTCTAGGCTCATCATGGACCGGACCCCCTGGTGTTATGTCATAACACGAATGGAAGATTATTCTTAAGGAGAGCTCAGCACGGCCTGCCGGCCATCTGCCATGGTTGTGTCTCAAATCCTCAACACGAATAACCTACCCCAACCCGAAAGCTCTCAAGCCCTAACCCCCGAGGCCCTGGGACCTGAGCCCCTCAGCAACCCTGAACCCTAAATCCCTTAACCCTAAACCCTAAATCCCTAAACCCTAAATCCGGGGTCTATAGGCCGCACGTATCCCCTCACGCCCAAAAGCCTAATCCCTGGCGGCCTGGAGGGCTGAGGAAGGTTCAGAAGTTGAAGGTCTAATATAGGGGCCCATCAAAAATCATACTATAATAAGAATAAGGATCCCCAACATGGTACTAGTATTGGTAATTCTGAAGGCCCTTATATTACCATGTGCGATCTAGACTCGAGATTTATCTGCGTCGACCCTAACCCCTAACCGCTGTACTAACCCCTCACAACCCCTCCACTCCGTTGACGAGCCAATCCGCAAACTTGGACCAAGTTCCCTCAGACTCAGACTCACAATACTTCTGCCATGCGAGTTACCAGGAAGACAAGAGGGGCAAGACAGCGACGAGGAAACACGACAGTACCGACAACTGAAGCGTGGCTGCAGCCAGTGTCACCTAGCAGTGCACTGACTTTTGCCAAGGCTTTCTATCATCTTGTTCGTGCCAACTGTCTTCTCCACATGCCGGCTACATGACTTTTTCATGTCCTGTGCAGTTTTGGCGAGATGTCCGTGTCTGACCCTGTAAAAGAACCGCAAGACAGATCTTTTGAACGACACATCACGTCTGTAAACGACCTGTTTGCTGGACTGTCAACATTTACGGGTGGAGGCTGTGAGTCCTATTCTTCACTGTGGCTTTATGAACGGCTGTATGACAAGTACCTGTTCATGCGAAAATGATCTTTACTCAGCCTCCCTGCCACAATCTTTCACACTATGAGTGCTCTATAAATCTACAGCACGGAATCGAGACCATGGCTGAGCCGACTGGAGCTAAAGCCATGAGTACTGGAACTCCGGTGAGAAGCGCCTACCGCCTACCGTCCTCCAGAACAAAACCGCGAAGGCCGTCGGCTGAACCACCCTAAACCCTGGACTAAGCTATCTTTACATCTTCCATGCAATCCCGGACAGTTTGGAGGAGGGCGGCTCGCAACGCTGTGCCCTATTGGGTCTGATGCTACACTGCCTTAATCGTTTGAATGGGTTTTTGGGGGTATGCTAAGCTGTAACTATATACAAGTAAGGACTATAAAGGGATATGACATTGCTGCAAGTTTCGGCCCACATATTAGAAAGCACAGCTGCAGGCTCCTGAAGCTCATGGACGCTTGTCCCTACAACCATCAGATGCGTGGATATTTGCTCACTCTTAGTCTTATGATGATGACGGCCCACAAATCTCTGGTTGTGCTTTCTGAAATGCGATATTGCATCTTGCTGTGTGGGATATAACGACATTATTGGACCCTTAGGTGTATGGGAGTTTCCGAAAATGAGGGGTACCCTATTTTGGGCCCTTATAATAAGGATCCTACTATTCAAGGTACCATATTAGGATCCCCCATTTTCGGAAACTCCCATATCAGCAGCGAGCATTGAGCCTCTTGCAGAGTGCGACTGCGCTGGAGACAAGCTCCTGAAAAAACTGCGCTCCTTCCTGCGTGCTCGGCACATCCTTTACCTTTGACATAAGCTCATCAAGCGGAGCTGATGACAAGGTGATCTCTGGATAGGTTCCGAAGTCACCGCAGGTCTCGATTGACTTTTGCTTGACCTCCTCAAGCGACACGCGTATGGGGCCATTGGTGAGGAGCTTCCATGTCTTCATCCGCACGGTTTCAATGCTGTAGACTTTGCTGGACCGTAACTGCCCACCTTCCTTGATCGCACCGGACTTCCAAGCTGACTCCAAGAAGCCTGTCGCCCTCGGCTCATCCACATGAAGCTCAGCGAAAACGTCACTTCGGAATCCCAGTTCTCCATCCAACTTGCCGACATCCCCCTGAAAGAGCTGCCTCTTCTGTGTGAAACTGAGCATTTGAGGAAGCTCAATGGGCGGCTCTCCAATCTCGAAGTGTGGGATCTCCAGGTGCTGATTCACGCGGCCCTTCTCCGCAGCCTCCCTGGCTGCAACCAGAACCTGTAGTCCCGTCAGAACCATTCCAAAAACCACGCTTGATATATAAAGTTTGAATTTTAAGAACAGAGAATTGTGCTGTGGAGGCTGCAGAAACCTTCATCGCTTCGCCGGCTCCAGGCAAAACATTCTTGTCAGGATGCACGAGCAGCGACTTCTTGAAAAAGGCTTTCTTGGCCTCAACTGCTGCTGCTCCTGACACAACTTGGGCGAATCACGAACTCTCTAAAAGCAAGTTGCAGTCGCCGTGTGTGTGTGTGTGTGTGTGCCTAGATTAACCAAGGTTCCTTGAAGTAAACGTACCAATTCTTTTAGGGTCAAATCCTGTTTCAAAGGTACATTGGTTACTCTTGGTACGGCTCGTGTTCTGTGGTGGAACCCAGCCTGGCGGCAGCCCCAAAACTTCCGCAGGAGTCCTGCACCTGCGGATGCGCTCCAACTCCTTCCGCTTCTCTTCCGCATGCCGCGGATCTGTGCCACCATCTACGTCCACGAAGGTCACCTTGCTTTTGGTCTTGCCTTCTGCATCGACGAGGCCCACCTGAACACTTCAAAACAAGTGCATAGCAAAACCTCCTGAAATCTCCACAACCTCGAAATCGGGTATTATTTGACTTGAGGCACCCCTGCCTTGGTACATGTGCCAGCTTCACACAACTCGTAGCCTTCTTGAAGCAATTCGCTTTCGAGGTTGGCCTTCTTGAGTTGCGGGCAGAACTGCGTCTTGTAATCCTGGCCATGCAGCAAACTCCCTGGACAGCACGACCAAGACGCATCCAAGCTTCGTAATCAGGCATGCTCAACCTACCCTTGATACTCTGCTGTTACCGCGCCCAACGAAGCCTTGTCGAGCAGGGTTGCGGGAGAACTGGAGACAATTTGCTCGGCACGGCAAACCCAGTCAGTCCAAGATCTTCACCAGCTTTAGCCAGAAAGCAAGCACTTGCCTCAAGCCCGCCTTGACCTCCCCTCGACTTCATAAACCAATCCCGAAGACTGTCCCCCAAAACAAAGACCCGGCATCCAAGTGCTTTAAGCCTGAATCCAGAAATCCTCTCGAGAATTTGCACGCCTTGCCAGGGCTGAAGCCCAAAAAGTCGGCTATGGAGGCGGTATGGCTTGCCTCACACATGCGGAAGTCTGCAAGTGCACAAGTACCGTGAACGATCACGACAGCAATACCGAGAATCCAAGAGGACTTGCTCAGACTTGCTCGTCAGGGTATCTTGTGCAAGCGCATGTCTCAAACTGGTGTATATCGAAAAAAATCTTCAGAAAGGTGAAGCCCAGGCGCGTCATGACTGAGGCTGTGAAAGGCCAGGACGCCCAGACGTATCTCAACCTTGAGTGGCTCCTTGCTCTGTAGCAGAAGTTCTTGGAAAGCTTCAACCATGAGCTCCTGGGTTCTTGTTAAGGGATTTACTATAGATCCCAACTATAGTAACTTGAATTAAACCCCTTAATGGCCTTAATGCAGGAACCTGATTAAGAAACCTTGGGCCTTTATTAGGGTTCCTTGTACGAATCCTACTATGTTGGGGTTATAGGCCCAGGGTTTCTTAATCAGGTTCCTACATTACCAAGAACCCAGGTTCCATGCTCCATTTCTTGACGACGGTCTCGGGCATGTTCTGGGGAGACACGCGGAGATCTGCAAGTGTAGCCTCGGCAGTCATGACAGCCTCCCGAATATGGGAGCCTTAAGAATAGGGTTTTGGGGCCCAGTATACTATAAATATAATAAGGAACCCCCAATATACTATAGTATCAAGGTGAAAACGAAAACAGGATCCCCTCAGACAGGCAATAGAAAGCTGCACTTGCACCTACCAGGACGCCGATAAGTCGTCACCGGCCCGGCTCAGGAGCATGAACTGCCTTCCTTTAACAAGGTAAGGTTCGAAGTTTGCGAGCATCTTTGGAGGATGCATAGCCGAAAAACGCACCGAGCGTGTGTCCGCATCCATGTATACCTGCACGGCTCCTCTCCTCCAGGGGTCCGGAATGGGGAATCTGCCCTGGAGCTTAATCTTGGAAAGGTGACCCCCAATCTTGTGGCAGAAGCACTTCTTCCATACAAGAAACACCAACTTCTGAGAAAAGATCTGTATCGCAGGCTCCGCAGGCTCACAGACCCCACTAAGCCCCTTACTCTGAACCAGCCGAAACTGAGCCTAAACCCCAAACCCTCAGTGGATGCTCTGTTAGAACGCAGGATTCAGGGCGGGACCTTCTGGGTTTAGGTCACTCCAGGCTGGCGGATCTTATAGGGCTTTGGGTTGATTGAGGGTTCCGGGGATTAGGGTTTTGGGGGCTTAGGGTTTATTAAGGGTCTAAGGCTTAAGGCTTAGGGCTCAGGCTTCAAGGGTTGAGGGTTTAGGGCTCAGGAATCAGGGCCGGAACATCGACGCTTTTGGGCTCAAAGCTTTGCAGAATGTCCAGCTTAGAAGTGTCAGGTCTCCACTTGCAAAATGCGTCGTTCTCTAATTTAAGGTCCCTTTTTCGGATGTTTTGTTTTGAGGGTGTCGTGCTATTGTAGGGACCTAAAGCCGGACCCTAGTTTAGAGAACCACCCACATACGAGTCCGATATGAAGATGTCGTGAACCTGGAGCCTTGCGTCTTTCGGTCTCGTAGGTTGTGCAGCGGGGGATCCCTGAAAGGCTGTAGAGAATTTACACCCACTATTGTTAACAATTCTTGTTGTTATGATTTCGGGTCCAGGGGCGCCGGGACTATGCTTGTAGCTACGTGCAACGAGACCATCAAGGCTCTGGCCTTCAAGAATGGGAGAATCCGGCCTGGGGGGAGCTGTCGTCTACGGCATACGTGTAAGGAACCCAAGAAGTAACATAGGTAATCATTTAAGTTTAGGCCCCTATCCTAGTTGCTGTGCTGCAGGAGTATTGGAGACCTTGCTATCCCTGGCCCCCAAACTCAAACGCTACACCCTCAACCCTAAAGCCAAAACCCTTGAAAAGGGTCTAGGATCGTAGCTCACACTCATAGTAGTAGTAGAAATCACAACAATAGTAACAAAAATCGTAGTAACAATTATTGTATTAATAGCTTTGATAGCAACAGAAGCAATGATAGCAATAGTGACAATCATAATCTTCTGTCCGATGTTTCTTCACGAGCCGGCCTCAGCTTGATGTCCGATCGGTGGATCAAGGTCTGGATCTGATCCTTCACCTCAGTTTTCATCAACTCATCAAGTGCGATTATTTTTGAGGGCCGCCCTTTTTCCCTTTATTCAGCTTTTTTTGCAAGTGCGGAGAGCTCCGATGGAGCAGGCTGTTCCTGAAACCCTGGCCATAGGTTTAGGGTTTTAGGGTTTTTGCTTCAAGCCGGAGGCGTAGGGCTGGAAGCTTGCTGAGCTGGGAGCATGTATAAGGTTCTAAAACCATCTAAAACCAGTACTGATAGATAGATGTAGATATTGATTTTTTCATAAGGGGACGCTAGCAGTAGGCAGAGATGGCCTTCTCAACGGCTTCCGGCAATCGTCCACCAATGAGGACTTCTCCGTCAACCAAGCTCACGTAGTCAATGCCCTCCATTGCCTGGAGCGAAAAGTGAACACATCCCAAGTTCTGACTCCTTAAAGCAATGGATCTTGATTCGGTCTCGGTCTATGCCTCGTGGACCCTAAACGCCCTGATTACTCGCATGTCCTTGTGGTAATTAAGTCGGGCCCAGCTTAAGCAGAAAACGAAAACATGGAATTCAAACCGCCCTTTGTAAATTGGAGCCCAGCTTGGCTAATGGCAACCCAAACGCCAAACCCGCAACGGGGTAATCTGCATAAAAGATCACTTTGCATCCCTAGAAGCTCTCTCTCACACACAAAAACCATGCCAACCATTGGTTGCCAAACTCGGTTAGTGTGCCAAACTCAGTCGGTGCGAGACAGAAACTGAAACTTCGAAAGCCTTTTCCTGCATAGAACAGCTTTGCGTCAGAGCAGGGGAGTTGTTGCGCATGCCCCCGAGTCTCGGCCTGGAATGCCTTGATGGTTTGACCGCCAGGACCGATAACCGATCCCACGGCTTGTGGTGGAATATCAAGGCTGCGAGTGAACGCTGAGGAGCCGCGGCCCTTGCCACGTCCTTTTCCTTTGCCGCCCATGAGCTCAGTTCTAGCCTAAAAAAGGTACAAGAAGCTTCTTGCTGGGGCCGGCAGCTGGGCAGATCAAGCGTATCGATGGGTGTGCTGGTATGCATGATGCACTCTGATGGAACACATGACCCTTTTCACTTTTTGCTGCACCTGCTGGTGATGATGAAGATGTGGTTGACGGTGATTATGGTGACTTGAGGATGTTGGTGGTGATGACCATGGTTTATCACCAAGCAGTCATGCTTCTGACTCTGGGCCATGGGCTGGTGTGCGGCGTGGCCGATTTGACTTCCCGCGACGCCTGAAGCCGTGCAGTGCTGAAGCCGTAAACCTGAAGTTCCCTCCTCTGTTTGGGAAACCTGGTGCATGCTGCGACAGTTCCATACTTCCCCCTTGCAGGGCCAGAGTAGACGAACTGCAAGCCGCCGTGGGTTTCTGAGGCTGGAACCGGGACGAACCCTAGGTGAAGCGAGTTTTTTGTCAAACTGATCTGATAGTTCCACCACCGCAGTTGCACACCACCGCAGTTGCAGGACTTGTCAGAAGACCCTCTTGCTTGTCTTGCCGCCTGGGCATGGAATGATCTGTTTCGAGCGCTATCGTGGCAGCATACGCCCGAACCTGAGGGCCGTTATTTGGGCCTTGCCATCACTCGAACAAGCTGTGTTGTCTCTTTGCTCGGGGCATCCGACCATGTCGGAAACCCACTGCAACCGTGCTCCACTCAACCCGGAATCGCAGCAACTTTTGCAAGGTGCTGTTCATGCGGAATAAACCCCGAAACCGAATATCCAACCCGCGAGGACTGTGTCCCCGGGCAGCTCCGGGAACATCAGCAGCACGCCAATCACAGCAACGATGGCCAGGCTCAGCAAAACCACGGCTTGATGCCTCGATGTGTCATTAGAACTTAGCGGAACTGGGCGGTTTAGGGCTTACGGTTTACGGTTTCAAGTCTTAAGGCTTAGGAGCGCACGCAGAACTCAGCAGTGCTGGAAAAATTGGCACAGGAATGCGGGAGCTTTAAAGAAGGAGCTCCAATATAGAACCGGAGCAAATCCTAATTAGAAGGACCTCAAGTCAGGTACCCATGACTGGCTTTCATGGGGATCAGGCTTCGGTATCACAGCCCCATAAAGGGAACTCCAGAAAGTTGGAATATGGATCAATGGTAGGATCCCCTATAATTTACCTGGTACCTTAAAGGGGTTACGATAATGATATTCCAACTTTCTGGCTTCTACTGTACTTGCTTAACCTCAGAAATTGACCCAGCAAAGGTTGAACGCCAAGAAAGCTGAACGGGAGGGTCACAGGGCGCAATACACGGGCCTTAACAATCAGAATAGGGTCTCGGGGCCCACTTTACTATAATTAAAATAAGGAACCATCAAACTAATATTTAGGCCCCTATATTAAGTGCAGAGTCCTGAGATGGGTGTTTCCAGGGCTCTAGAAGAACAAAGCAAGGAGCAGAGATGGTAAGCCAGCAGACAAAAACGACGCACTGGTTGACCCATTCACGATGGTAAAACAAACTTGTACCAGTTACGATCCAAGTGTTAGGCGGGTCCTTCGGCTGTACGGGCTCAAACAAGAACTCCAGGACTCTAAGGTTCACTATTAGATTTGGGTTCAGAGCCTTGGGGCTCAAGGTCTCACCCACTTCTGTGCACACTGCCTGCGTTCTTGCTTGCTTGCTTGCTACTTGCAACAGGACACCGCATGTAGATTCAATCACCGGCTGCGTGGAAGATGCCCTTCACAAAATAACACCGCAACGCTCAGCCCGAGACTCTACACATTCCACCTTCCCACCCGAAACCCTAAACAGCCCTAAACCCAACACATTTGGAGTTGCTGACTGAAGTTGAGTCCCAAAGTGACTGTCCTGAGCCCCTGCTCATCGAGGTGCCCTGTGACAGTGTGTCCGGAGCTTTGCTGCGAGGGCTTGGTGGTGGAACCTGCGCAAGGGGAAATTCTTCGAATGGCTTAAAGGAGCCCCGTACTACAGATCCCTTAAAAGAGCTCCGCATAGATCCCCGACAGGAACCCTCATAGATCCCATGAAGTGAAGCTCTACACTCGGAGCTTGCGAGCAAAAGTCGTACCTTTGTCCTCGCTTGGATCCCAGATCTCGACTTTTGGAAGGTCCGACTCCTGATCAGGTTGCAAACGGCACGATCGTGCACAGCTGCGGCGTGCTGTTCCCATCCGTTCCGACAGGCACCTTCCCCGAAGGAAAGCAGTCAGGAGGCTTGTCTGGTCATCATGCTAACTATGTGAATTGCGGCAGGTGTTTCGGCTACGGAAGCAAGTAAAGCTGTGCAGAGCAAAGGAGCTCAGGGGGTGAGGTTCTCCAGATATCGGTGCGGGCATGGAACGAGGATCTGTCCCATGCAACCTTTTGACTCGGATGCTGGTTGGCATGTATGCAGGGGTACAGAAACGAAGGCGGTGGATGCAGCGACAAGCCAAATGTGCACCGACCGAGCACCAAAAGTCACCACCGCAAATGCTACATTCTTGAACTCACCTCTCTGCCACAGCTTCATGTCGGCTTCTTTGACACCACCAGACACCCAAAACACAATAAAGACTCATCCAGCAGCCCGGAAGCCACCCAGACGCATGAAGAGCTACACGTAAACTAGAATCTTCAACCCCCGTGCCACCCCGAAGCACGAGGCCAACCTCGACGCCGGCCGAGACGGACTTGGTGGCAGTTTGGGTTGCAGCGGCTGATGAATGCTACGGCTGTAGGGTTGGAGACCTAAACCCTACACCCAATACTCCAATGCTAAACCTAAACCCTAATGCCCTGAGTTACCTCTAATTTACCCGAATACCCTCATAACCCGAAAGCCTGATACCCAAAGAGGCCTTGAGGAGCTTACGGTGGCTTAGGGTTTAGGGTGGCCTTAGAGGCCTCCTTGCTGACATCATCTTCGGGTTCGAGTCTACAACTCGGGAGCAATCGGGTGACTTACGGCTTGGGTGTGATCTTGCCTGCAGCGTTTGAGGTTCAGGGTTGTTAGGGGTTTAGGGCTTAAGGTTGGGGGCTTCAGGGTTTAGGCTTGAGGGCTTAAGGCTTACGGGCTTACGGGGAAAGGGGCTTAGGGTTGAGGCTCATCGGTTGGGAGCCTGGGCCCTCTGGAACTCCTAAGGCCAGGGCTAAACTGGAAAGAGGCCCCATACCCTACGTGCCTGGAACAGGCTTTGGGGGTATCTTCAACTGGGGAAAGCGATAATTTAAAATGGCCGTAGTGCGGGATCAACACACCCAGAAGCTCTTAACCGAGGGGTCTTAATAATTTTTCTATAGGGTTTTGGGGCCCATTCCACTAGAATTATGATCAGGACCCCCAAATAGTATAGGTAGTTATTAAGAATTATTAAGGCCTCTATAGTAGACTACCCGGTGTCCGAGACCCCCGGCAACGGAAGCGGTCGATGCAGCGACCGCGTTGAGTGGCCGGGATCCTTCAATGTGAACCTGGGTCCCTAAACTATTTGGGGTTCCTTTAACTTAAGGCTTCTTATAAGGGTTCTATAAGGGGTACTATAAGGGCTAGACGAGACCAGCAGCTCGGGTGTCTGTTCTTAAAACGCGGAGCTTACCATCCTTCAAGCTGCGAGGCTTACCATCCTGAGAGATGCAGGAGTCCCTTGCGGATTACGGGCACCACGATGAGGAATTTCGATCAGGTCCATGTCGCTTATGCCGTCCCCCAGATAAACATGAAGCTTGTTCCGGGTTGGGTCGACTACAGGGGCTTGGAGAAGCAAAAACAACTAACTACTAGGAATAGCTATCAACAGCTAAACGTACAAACAAGCAAACATAAGCCTGCGGGAAAAACTGCTAGCGAAGCAACCGTAAGAACTGCCAGATGTATGCATCTGTAAGGGAATAGGCAGGACTGCTTCGGGTGGTATCGAGTGCGTGGCCTTCTAGGTCATATACCGTAAATCCTCCAAGCCTGTTGAGCGTTCGCCTTGTTCACTACAACAGCGCTTGTCAGAACAATAATCATCCAACGAGCCCATCATGCAGCGAACTGCAGGGTTTCTACGGTCCTCTGCTTGCAGAAACCCTTTGCAGGTCTCCATTGAGAAACCATCAACCCAGGACCCAACAATGCTAAGCCACTAAGCTTTGCAAAACGCAAGCACCTTTTCAGGGCCAGGCTGTACTTACGATTCCAGTCTAAACTCTGACTCCATCCCTTATACTGTCAAAGGATAAAACTTAAAACCTACAGCAGGTCTCCAGCCCAGGGGTCTAATATACAGAGTCAGGCGAGCAGATACAGCGTGTCTCAGGACTGTTCGATGAGTATTTCCAGCATCAGCATGATTATGGTACTGGTAACGGTAATCGTGGTCCGTTCTTCGACAGCAAGACTCTTGTTACATCAGCGAAGAGCATGCTACCCAAACCTCTGATCCTAACGCCCTGAATCTCCAAACCTGAACCCTAAAACCCAAAGTCCTAAACCCCTACTTCCCCCACAAAACCGATGCCCTCCTGCCCTTATAGAACAGCTCTAGTAACTCTTGTAGTACCTCTGTTGCAGGTAATCCCCCTCCACGCTCCCTCCCGGAACTCCGAGGAGCTGACCTCTCCATCATCCTGGGCATCAAAGTGCTCTCGCAGAGCACACAGTGAGGCTGTTTTAGGACAGGACTTACGTCTTGGATTTCTTCGAGCTTAGGGCTTTAGCATTTCGGTCTTGCGATTTAGAGTTCAGGTTTTTGGGGCTGAAAGACTTACTATAGGGGCCTTAATAATTAGAATAGGGTTTCGGGCTCATTATACTGTAATTGTAGTAGGGAACCCCCCAGAATCGTAGTAATTATTAAGGCCCCTATAATAATCTTCGGGGCTCAAGATCGGCTTTGGCTTGGCTTGGGCAGCTCGGCTCGCGGCCCAGGTGTGCGTCTCCGTACCAGGGCGGCTGGCCTGCTCGACGTGCACCTTCAAAAAAGGACTCTGCTACAGGGGC